GCAATCAGCTGGGCCTTGGTTGCTTTCTGCACAGGCAAGCCCCTCTCTCTGCACAGCTCCACCAGCTCTGCCTTCAAGAGTCGGGCGTAGGCCATCTGCCCGCTGGGCCCCTCGGTGCAGACTCACCAGTCTAGTGCTGCAGCGCCCCCCGATTCCCAGGAACCGCTTCGCTCTGTCTCCAGCACGCCTGGCTCCAGGGCTCTTGCTTCTACTGCGCCTTGTCGCTCGCCGCTGGAAGCTCCATCCACGGGGTGCAGTGCATCCCACTTCTGACAGCAGTGTGACGGCGCGTTGGGGGTCCTCCGTCTCCTGCACCCCGAAATGGCACAAACAGACTGCACCAGCCGGTGGAATAGAGGAAGTTTATTGCCTCTCCAGGATACAGCACAGCACAGATGTAATCTGGTCACAGAGCTGGGCTAGGATGCCTCAGGCCCCCTTGAGATGGGGGAGACTGGGCCCCTAAACTCCAGCTCCTCTCCCTAGGCTCTCCTCCATGCTCTCCGACAGAACTAACTAAATTCCCTTCCAGCCCTGCCCCCCAGCCAGGGCAGCATTCCACCTTCCTTTGTTCCTCTCCATGGGGGTGTCTGGCCACTGGTTCAACAAGTTTGGCACTACCTTTGCATAGTGAGGTTTTCCCTGCTGGGTCTTGCTCCAGACAGCAGGGGTCACCACAGCCCAGCAAGTACCCCCACTACGTCACATGGTGTCACAGCAGAATCTCCAGCTGCTCCTTGCACCCAGAGCAGCCGCACGCCACCTGCCCACAAGCAGCCACTCTGACCTGCTGCACTGGGTGCAAGAGCCTGGACAGTCCCCCCTCTGCGACTGGGCTCTTGTGCATCCTCTTTTGTCTGTCTTAGCACAGAAGTTGAATTGTGCAGATTAGTCCACACAATACAGTGATTTTGTTTTCCATGTCTCTTGTTCCCTCTAGCCCAACTGAATGCAGACATTAGCTCGGTTGTTAGCAATGGAATTCGTACCATATCTTTTATAAAAACCAACTCTACATTTGCAAGCGTTGCACAGACATTCGTCTTCATTATTGTCTACTTCTCCGTTGTACGAAGTGAGATGATTTACTGCTTAATGCTCGCCGTTGTCTGTGAGCAGGTGCATTGCTGTCTCCTGATGAGCACTCTGCTTTATCAAGCATGACTAGCGTAGCTTTTACTGGGCTTTTCAGAGTTATTTTCGCATGACCCCAACATTTTAACTCTTTTAGAAGCACCAGGTTTCACAACCACAACTTCCTTTGTACATCGCATAAGAGAAAAGTGCAGAATAATGAAACCCAACTGCATTTAGAAGGTGTATTGGAGAAAAAAAGGAAGGGTGTCGAGGGAGTGGTGGAGAGAGCCAGAACGAGGAGAAGTGGATGAAATACGGACCCAGGAGAGATGAACTCTAGACTGTTATCTTATGGCACAGGCTGTGCCAGAGAGTCCAGCCAACTGAGAAAGACCAGGCAGGAAATCTGAACCAGTCTGTGGAAATATTTGAGGAAGGAGTCTCAGCAGGGTCACCTTGTTAGTCCGTCTCTGCAAAACCAGTGAGAGGTCCTGTGGCACCTTAACGAATAACCGATTCATTTGGGCATCAGCATTGGTGGTTAAAAGCCACCTTGTAAGATGCTCTGGAGGGGAAATGGCAGAAGCTGGGAGATACAGATGTGCTACAGGTCCAGCACCCTTGGCAATAGGGTCAGTACTGAAACAGAATGTCCCGAACCAGGGGAGGTCTAGCACAGGCATGTCAGACTGGCGTTTGGAGGGCCTCATGCGGCCCGATCGAAATTTTTTGCAGCCCGCCAGAACGCTTTTATAAAAGAATGAAGTATTGAATGAAGAGACGCCCATGGCGAAGGGGTGCTGGGCACAGAGCGCTCACACACACATCACTGTGGGGCGGGAGCAGAGCGTCTTGCTACCCGCACATTCCCCACTGAGCCCAGGGACAGGCCGACCCACCGAGAGACACGGGCAGGGCGGGAGTGACGGGCAGAGATATCCCACAGGCACCAGGCCCAGGCCCCGGACCGTTCCCAGCTCCCTCAGAGGGGCAGCGTGTAGCTGGGCCTCTGCCTCATGGACAGTAGCCCCGGCCGGGTGCCTGCTGACCCTGCCAGACCCTGAGTTCCCTGGGCAGTTTGCTCCAGGTCTCCTGGGCCGGCTGGGGGTGCAGAGCGGGGGCAGCACAGACAGAGACCAGCCCCACAGCCCAGCCTCGAACATCACTCAGCATCTCGCCCCGTGCGCCACTGACCTACCCCAGCCAGAGAGCTACCCCTTTGGGCACAGAGCATCTGCAGTTACTCACCTCAGCCATACGGCTGCACCCACCCTGCCCGCCCAGCCCCGCCCGTCGCCTGCC